CCAGTAGCAGCCCAGCAGCTACAGAGCTGCAGTCAAGTGAGCCATGGCGAGGGCGAAGACGGGGGCCCGGACTCAAGCAACGACAGACGCGCTGATCAACCGACAGGGCGGAGCAGCCGGCGGCCCGGGGCCCTGGTCCTCCCCCAGCTCCTGGCGGGGCGCCGGCCAATGGGCGCCGGCCGGGGGCGCCTGCGCGCTCGCTTATTTACGTGAGGCACGTGGAGCGGCCAGGCGGCGCAAACGGGTGGGTCCCAGCGCCGCCCTAAGGCAGCCTGACAGCAGCAGGGTCTGCGTACAGATGGCCCGGGGTTCCAGCTTTGAAGTAATCTTCCTAGGTCTTGGAGCTGCTGTTGGGGAGGGGAAATGATGCTGGGCTGAGAATAAAAATAATAGCTACCATTTATTACATGCTTATTATATGTTACACATTATATGCCATCTCCTTTTAATCGTAGTAAGTATCCCGTGAAGTAGATGTCATCCGCATCTTATAATTGAGGAAATAGAGGCTTAGATATGTTAAGTAGCTTGCGAAACATCTGCTAAGTGAAAGAGCTGGGCTTGAACCCAGGGATTTAGCTTCAGAGCTTGGATTCACAGATCGATTACCACTTTTTTTAAATTGAGATATAGTTGCATCCCCTCTTTGAGCCCCCTCATCTCATCAGCAAAATGACAGCTAATACCCCCTGGATTGGCAGTGCCTCAGGCTGTTATGGGGATCAAGTGCAAACATGCAAACAGTGCACAGGGTTGGGACTGTTCTTTTGTTCCTTCAAGCATTTACCAAGTGTTCCAGGGCCTCGCAAGCAACATGAACAGATGCGCTAGGCAAAATATTGCTTATCGTGAGCTCCCAGTCTAGTGGAGATGTTACCGAACTCAGATCCAGCTGCTCGCCTCTCAAAAATCAGTGAGAGAGAGAGAGACAGAGACAGAGACAGAGAGAGGCAAAATGGTAGAAAGGAAAGTTGCTTTTAATCAGAATGCCAGCAATCTGGGTGGGTGGATGGTGTACTCAGTGTCCCCACAAAACCATCTCCCCAGATTCTGCTCAGCCATGAAAGTTTTTAAAGGGAAAAAGGGAAGTAATCTCAGTTAATCGTTGAGATGGGGGTCAGAGTGGTCACCACCTGCCACTGCGTACAGGCTTGTTGACTTGTGATCTTTCTTTACATGTT